AAAAAAAACTAATCTACCCACTGTATCTGGGGGCTTGTTATATAAATCATGGTGTACACCTGCATAGAATTTATGCACCTATTTAAAATATTTTATAGACTTATGGTTATTGGCATGGAAAGATGTTACATGAAAAAAAAATCAGGTTATCAAATTGCATGTGAGGTGGGGGTGTAGTCCAGTGATAGAATGCATGCTTAGCATGCAAGAGGCCTTGGGTTCAAACCTCAGCACCAAAAAATAAAATGAAATTTTAATGTGGGATGTAATTTTATTCTTTTTTTTTTAAATATTTTTTTTAGTTGTAAATGGACACAATACCTTTATTTTATTTTATGTGGTGCCGAGGATCAAACCCAGTGCCTCACGCATGCTAGGCAACGATCTACCACTGAGCCACAATCCTGGCCCCTCATTCTTTTTTTTTTTTTTCCTCTTAGTTGTAGATGGACACAATACCTTTATTTTATTTTGTGTGGCGCTGAGGGCTGAACCCAGTGCCTCACTCGTGTGAAGCGAGCACCTTACCACTAAGCTATAACCTGAGCCCTGTAATTTTATTCTATGAAAGAAAAAAAATTCAAATGTGTGGGAGATATGTCAATTATTTGTCAACTAAATATAAAATTTACACAATCTGTATATAATACTCTTAGAGATTATAACTTTTGGGCTGGGGTTGTGGTTCAGAGGTAGAGCACTTGCCTAGCATGTGTGAGGCACTGGGTTTGATCCTCAGCACCACATATAAATAAATGAATAAAATAAAGGTCCATCAACAACTAAATATATATATATATATATTTTTTTTTTAATAATATAACTTTTAATTCTGAAAAGATACATAAACCACCACTTCAGATAGGAGGTGGCAAGGGATGGTCTAGTTTTGGGTGTGCAGGGAGAGGATGAACCTAGACTCTCCCCCTCCCCTCCCCCACCCCTCTTTGTTCTCCCTCCTCCCTGACCTCTCCCTGGTGCTCCTTACCCTGTTCTGCTGACCAGGCCAGCTGGTTGCTCACAGTTTCCACAATCATGTTGGCAGCCTCTTCATCTTGAAACAGAGCTTGAACCTGCTGCAGGTCACCAGAGAAGAGGGCATTGTGGACAGCTGGGTCCCTGCAGGAGCGGCGAGGCCTTGTGAGTCGGGCCTGGAAACTTGAGGGGCACCTGTGGCTGCGGCACTGCTGGRCAGCTGCCCGTCGCCGATCCTCCCATTCCAGCCACTCCCGCTGCAGGCGGAGAGCACGCAGCGTAGAGGAGGTGAAGGGGAAGGTCTCCCCGGCCATGCGGAGGGGCCCAGGAGACTGGGCAGTGGCACCTGGGCAGATCCTTGTTCCTCAGCGGGACTACCACCCTTGCTCTGGAGAATCAGCCTGTCTCCTCCCCCTCCCCCGTGAGCAGGGAGAAGAGCAGCTGAGACTATAAATAGGCTCTTCACTACTCTGGTAAACAGTTTGCCGAGAATCATGATCCTGGTGCAGAGATGGTGCTGGGCCAGTTCCTRCCCCATTTGATTGGTCAGCAGGCCCTCAACTGAGGCTACCTCAGGACTTCAGGACTCCAGGACCGCATCCTCCTACATCTCTAGTGTGTCTCGGTTGGCAAGGTCCAAGGTGAGTGAAGCAGGCAGCCATGGGATGGGATGGGAAGGGAAGGGCAGGGCCGGGGTGAAGGAGGGTGATACAGCCTCTGTGACGTTTACTAGAGGACAGGAGCCCAGGTTGACCCATAGGGAGGAGAGAGGGCAGATCTCAGCACAGGAAGTAAGGGGAGGTTGGGACTGATAACTGAGACGATGACCAGCTCTTCCTGGCACCTATAGTAATAGCAATCACTGCATGTGGTGTGAACCTTTACAATTTAAGTCACGTTCATATCCATCCTCATTTGGGTGACCAGGTAAATAATACAGTAATACAAAACAGGTTTTGACAGTAAATGATATGGTTAGGCTAATTATCAATTGAACTCCCAAGTTGGGAGGTCTTAGCTCTGTTTTAAGATTTAAGGCTTAACAAGGAAAATCACTAGCTCATGGTCACATGGCTTGAGGGCCAGAGCCAAGACCCCATCATGTGCCTGATGCCATGGACAGTGCATTTTGGCCCCAGCTGCTGTGACCACATGTAGTGAAGACAGTTCTGTAAGCCTCCCCACTCCCTGAGCGGGATAGTGTGGTCTTTGGTCTCCACAGACTACCCTTAATGATTACTGTCCCTCCAGCTCCTAAGGGGATGCACATGTGTGCCTGATGGGGGCAAGGGATTGACCTTGAAACTCTGGGGACTGAACTAAAGAGATCTTCAAGCTGCAAACCTGTTCACTCTGAAGAGAAGGCAGCTCTGCCTCCAGGAGCCTCTAGGGGGAGGAATGAGACTGTGAAACCACCCCAGCTGGTGTGACTGACATGCTGTGGAAGGGGAGGGCGAAGGGACACCACCCATGGCCCACTGAAGTTCTTCTAACTCCAGAATTGGCAGGCTGAGGCTGGGCTGATGTCTGCCCCACAGTGCAGTGCGCTCTTGGTGCTCCTCCCTGCCCTGGCGCTGCCATAACCTCTGCATGGGTATCTTTCACTTTGTCCTTTCCCTGGTCCCTGCACACAGACTAATTCTAACTCCTGTTCTCACATTCTCAGTCACTGTCAAGTTCAGGCTCTCAAAGCCTTAAAGCAGGATCAGCCCAACTTCTGATTGGTGTTCCTACCTCTGGTCACACCTACCTCTATTTCCCTGCCAGAATGATCTAAAATGGCAATTCACTTGCTTAAAAACTAAAATTTATGCCAGGTGTGGTGGCACACACCTATAATCCCAGCAGCTCTGGAGGCTGAGGCAGGAGGATTGTGAGTTCAAAGCCAGTAAAAGCAAGGCACTAAGCAATTCAGTGAGACCCTGTCTGCAAATAAAATACAAAATAGGGCTGGGAATTTGGCTCCGTGATTGAGTATCCCTAAATTCAACCCTCAGTACCCCCCCTCAAAAAAAAAACCTAATGACTTCTAGCCCCTGCCCTCTYCAGTTAAGCCCCAGTTCCCTGGGATGGTCCCATGACATTAGCATTCTCCTCAAGGCTCCTCCCTCCCATTCCTGTTCATGCTCATGCCATTGTATACTCACTCCTTCAAGCCCACTTCCAAGATCACCTGCTCTGGGGAGATGTCTCTACAGCAACCCCAGGTGCTCCAGCCTATAGTTCCAGCTACTCCCCAATCTGTGCTTCTAAAGAACTCTAGGCAGGCTTTGCAAGCACCTATCCCATGCTGTAGACACTACCATGCTGCATGGGGCTCCAGGGCACACAGTCAGTCTGGATGTGGTGTTTAGGAGCACTTGGCTCAAGGCAGGCCAGACTCTTATTTTAATGTGTAGTGCATTGAATGGAGGCCCCTACTCTCTGCCAGAGCAAACACTCATCCGCCCACCCAAGTGGGTGGCAGCAGCTTGGGCTTTTTCTGGCACTGCCCTGGCCCTCTGTTCACTCACTCTCTGCCTGGCCCCAGCATCTTGGTAGCATTCCAGGGTGGGGGATCCCAGAAGAGGAATGAGGTCATGCACAGTGAGGGCTTGGAGATCCTCAGAGAAAGGCTCCTCTATAGATGAAGCTGTGATTAACCCTATTGGAACCCATTCAGTGTTTTATTTGTCCCGCCAACGGCCAGGCTGAGCACCTACAGCTGGGTTCCCAGGGTTGGGAGTCTGGCAAGGCCAGCTGGGGCCAAGAGGGGCCCAGGTGGTAGGCGTCCCCTTTCCCCCTAAGGCACACAACAGTTCCAACCCAGCCTCTTTTCCTGCCTTCATGCCACACAAGCATGAAGGTGCTGACTACAGCTCTGTCCCTTAGAGATCCTRTGTGTGGGTCTCCTTGTACTTAGCATTAGCTTGCTGAAGGCAGAGAAAGAAAGCCTTTGCTTCAGCCTGCCCATGGTCCCACAGGAGCCCAGAAGTGCTGGAGGAAACAGTGCCAGGAGATTCGATGCCCAGCCTGGCTTCTGAGAGCTCAGAGCCTGAAGCACACAAGAAACCAGGACATGCAGTAGTTTGGGATGAGTCGAGGCTGAGCAGTGGGGTCCAGGACACAGAAGTGTCTGGAGTGGGGGACTGTAGGTCAGGGTGCTGGGTGGTCTAGCTACCATGGGATAGATGGGCTCTGTCCCAGATCTAAGCTACAGAGGTTAAAGCGGTGAACTGTGGGCGGAAGAAATGCATGGTATGTTCAAGTAGGAAGACCAAATGGGAACGTGAAGGGGCAAGAGTGCTGGGAAATTAGCCCTCTCCTGCCAGGCCTAGGAGCACAAAAGCCTTCTGGAACAGGGCCCGCTTCAATCAACAGTCAATTGAACATGGAGTTTTCAAGGTGCTTGTTCACTTCTGCCTATAGGATCCACTGCTCTCTGGGAAAAGGAGATTAATACCTCCTCCCAGAGCAGTGCAGAGCCCAGGTCCATGGGAGGCCCCTGGCTGAGGCAGGGGAGGCTGGTGTCAACTGGGCTCTTTAACCTGCCCTTGCTTGTCCAGGAGTTGGGAGAGTTTTCCTCTCTGCCCTTCATCCCGGAAAGGAAAACAATGTTTGGTAACTTGAATAATTAATCCTTTTATGCCACACCCATGCCATTGTCAACTCCTGTCTGAAAGGTGGTATTGAGAAGCTCCAGCAATGAGGAGTTACTTGGCAAAGAAATAAAGTACTATTTGATTAGAACCCAAAGTATGAAATAAATTCCTGAGTCCATACTGATATAAATGATTGAATAAATGAGGGAGAACAGACAAATTTCCTGTGCAGAAGMATTCAAAATAATATATGTAGCTCTTCTACCTTTAAAGAGGTGGAACAGAACTCCCTCCGCTGAAGTGTGCACTGTGCAGGGCAACTTCCAGCATAACAGGAAGGAGAAGGGAAAAGAGCCATTCAGCAGCGCAGAAGCCTGAACCTTACCCCAGCCAGGTGACCCAGGGCCACASGAACCCTGACAAGATGTTCAGGGAATGGCACCTTACCTCTTTCTTCCTCCCCAAAACCTATATATATAACCCCAGTCCAATCATGAGAAAAACATCAAACAAATCCTAACAGAGGGCATCCTACACTATGCCCAGCCAGTGCTTCTCAGAACCGTTGAAGTTGTCTAAACAAGGAAAGTCTGAGAAACTGCCACCAATAAGAGAAGCCTAAAGAGACAGTGAAATTAAATGTAATGTGGGATTCTGGATTGGACTCTGAAACTGTGGAAGGACATGAGGGGAAACTGAGTAAATCTGAAAAAAGTATGAAGTGAGTTAGTGATAATGTACTGATATCGGTTCATTAATTATGATAAATGTACCATATTAATGTCAGAGGTGAATAATAGGGGGAAACTGGATATAGAGTATATGGAAACTTGCTGAACTATTTTTATAGTAAATCTGTAAGTCTAAAATTTTCTAAAAGAAAAGGTGTTAAAACACACACACACACACACACACACACACACACACACACAAAGAACCAGAGTTGCTGAGGCTTCTTATTTCAGAACTAGGTACAAAAGCCCACACGGCTGCCCCTGCACCTGGGAACCTTGTCTTTGTCGTGGTACAGTCCTTCTTAGCACCTCAGCTTCCCTGGGACTGGGGAGTAAAGGGACAAGCAAACTAGGTCTAACATTCTCTCAAGTTCAGCTGAAATGAAAAGATGACAAAAAGATGACCTATTGGTGACCAAAGGAATGGAGGGCCAGAAGGCTTAAAAACAGGAAGGCTAAGAGCCAGTCCTTGGCTGAGGTCTGGGATGACAATGCCAAGGACGTCTCAAAGCCGCAGCAGTGCAGAATCCGAGACGAGGGACTTTTCAGGTGCAGCGTCCAGGGTAGGAGCACCACAGAAGCCCAAGCTTTGGCAAGTTTCCAGTCATGTGGGCCTTCTTTCCCTTGGATGTGACCAGACATACCCAGAGCCTTGCCTGGGAGCTGAGAGGCTGCTTGCTTATGGTGGGTGCCCTGCCTTGGGGCAGTCCCAACTCCTGGTCCCACAGAAGAAGTCCTCAGGGAGCTCACTCAGAAGTCCATCCAGGTCATCTGCAGGGGTAAGGAAGGCAGCCTCAGTGACAACATTAAGGTTCTGCTTGCCTGGGGTCTAAAGTACCTGCCCTTCAGGAGGGACAGGGCCTGGCCAGACAGAGAGGTAGCTCCCCCCAGTCAGTGGTGCCCATGCCAGTGGGCCTGAGACTGACCTGACTTCCATCTCCTTCCGCTCCCCAAGTACACGTGCACGGCAAAAGGCAGGACATAATGCCTGGGCTGTTCTGATAAGAAAGGGGGTCCCCCTGGGCTCAGTGGTTCCTCCCCTTTTATCCAGAGGCACAGCACCAAGCAGGAAGGCTTCTGAGGTCCCCTATGTGACTCTCTCATTGGATAGCAGAAGGAARATGCAAAAGCCACTGCATATGTTCAAAATCACAAAGCTCATTCATTAATCTGGTATCTCTTCTAATGGTTGGAGAGAGCATCACCCCCTTCCCCAAAATTCCTGAGTGGGAGTAGGGAATGAAAGTAACCATTCCTGCCAGGTGAAGTGGCACATACCTGTAATCCCAGTTACTTGGGAGGCTAGGTCAGGAGGATCATAAATTCAAGACCCTAAATTCAGCAACTTAATGAGACCCCATCTCAAAATAAAAAATAGAGATGGGGTTGTAACCTAGTGGTAAAGAGCCTTTGGGTTCAATTCCTTGTATCATACAATTAAAAAATTGTTACCGAACCACAGTTCTCAGATAATGTATGCTTAAGTCCAAGAATCTGGAAATAGAGCCAACCTTGTAATCCTCTCCTCGCCACCCCCCCCCCTTTTTTTTTTTAAGATATTGGGATTGAACCCAGAGGCTCTTTACCACTGAGTTACATTCTTTTTACTTTTGGAGACAAGTTCTTACTAAGTTGCTCAGGCTGTTCTCAAACTTGCAATCCTCCTGACTCAGCCTCCTGAGTAACTGGGATTCCAGGCATGCAGTAATCTTTTTTTTTTTTTTTTTTTTTTTGGTATCAGGGATTAAACTCAGGGCACTCAACCACTAGGTCACATCGCCAGCCCTATTTTATATTTTATTTAGAGACAGGGTCTCACCGAGTTGCTTAGTGCCTTGCCACTGCTGAGGAGGCTTTGAACTTGCAATCCTCCTGCCTCAGCTTCCCAAACTGCTGGGATTACAGGTGTGCACCTCCACGCCCAGCTTGCAGTAATCTTTATTGACCTTCTTTTTGTTAATAAGAGCAGCTAATAACTTACTGAGTACTTTCTCTGTGTATCAGTAACCTTTCATAGGGCATCTCATGGTGGTTCTGTGATAAACCCCACTTCACCTGAGAGAACAGGATATAAGGAGGTAAAACAAGTTTCCCAAGGTAAGCATACTCTGCTTCCAAGTGATACCAGAACMACTATTGGCAATCCTTCCCGAGTAGGATCAGGAAGCCCTAGGAGTTAAATCAGACTGTTCGTATACTACACCAAGAGCCTAGTTCCAAGTCTAGCAAGAGCACTCAATGCACACTGCTGCTGTGTATTAAAGGAAGTAGTTAGTTTGGGAAGCATTCAAAATTTAATTAAGGTGATTAGCACTGTACTTAAGGAATCGCTCTGCATTAGCAATCACTATTTATTTTGGTACTAGGGATTGAACTCAGGGATGCTTTACCACTGAGCTTCATCCCCAGTCCTTTTTCTTTTTTGAGACAAGGTCTTCCAAAGTGCTAAGGGTCTCAYTAAGTTGCTGAGGCTAGATTTGAACCTGTGRTCCTCCTCTCTCTCAGCCTCATGAGTCACTGAGATAACAGGCATATGCCATCACACCTGGCAAACAACATTCTTATGATGATTGGGCTTATGATCAAGCTTACTTATAAAGAGAGAGCGCAAGATTCCAGACAATGCAAGAGCCCAGCATAGGGAGATATTCTTTCACAGAATATAAATAAGTRGGTTTTAGTCTATCCATTGGCATACTGTGAATTGTTAATGTGAGACAACTACCCATAATCCCATGAACTTTGGGTTCAGACAGGACTGAATTTCTGGAATCAAAAAGCTAAGGAAGCACCAGGCTCGGTGGCACACGCCTGTAATCTCAGCAGCAGGGAAGGCTGAGGCAGGAGAATTGCAAGTTTAAAGCCAGCCTCAGCAAAAAGCAAGGTGCTAAACAACTCAGGGAGACCCTGTCTCTAAATAAAATACAAAATAGGGCTAGGGATGTGGCTCAGTGGTCGAGTGCCCCTGAGTTCAATTCCCAATACCTAAAAAAAAAAAAAAAAGCCTAAGGAAGCAACTCGGGACTCTGTTTCACTGGGTGATGTAGCCTCCTGGGGCCTGCCCACAACAGGTCTGCATCTGGGCCTCTCGGGTTTGTATCCTGGGCCCCCAAGTAAGTACATGGAGATTTGATTTCTCAGCACCCTTTAGTGGGCCTTTGAGCTTAGTCAGAATGGGGAAATCTGCCTCTATGGTCTGGTCATCAGCCCACAGAGGAATCAAAATGWGGCACAAAGATAATGCCTGTCCATCTGGACAGAAGATGGTAGTGCATCCTAAAGCACAGGGCCTGGAGGCAGGGGAGACATGTGGATCACACTTTACATGGCCCCATCACACTGTCAACTAGTTTGTGGACTATAGCCTTGACAAACGAGATACCATATTTGATTTCTATAAAATTATGCGAGGTCCAGAGACTCATAGGAGAAGGAACAAAATGTAARCAGGAGGATTTTGGCCCAGTTATGCTAGAGCAGAGAGATTTTCCTGATCCTGACGAGCTGACTCTCTTACCTGTTTCTGGAAGTTCTTCCTCAGGGGACACCCCTGCCACTGGATTCTGTTCTGTTCTGAGATCTTCCCTGGGCTTTGTGGCCACATCATGCTGGAGGCCATCATGGAAGCTTCCTGGATCCTGGGGACAGAGGAGCTCGTCACCAATACCCATGACCCTGAAATCCCTCCAGATGGTACCACCTCTACCCAGATGACCTTAAAGGGCCTGGTGGGGGCTTAGGAAAGAAACATAATGGAGGAGTATGGCAGGGGCTGGGGTCACCCATGCCCAGGCTAGGGGAGGGAGTTGAAAAACCAAACATCCAAACCAGCAGACAATTAAAACAAAACAAACCATTAGGGGTGAGTTTCTTTTCTAATTTTGTTGATATCTAGTGTTCTAGGGAATCTATATAAGTGGAGCAGTGAGTAAAGAGGCCATTCAGAAATATGTTGAAGAGTTAGCCTGAGATTAAATATGAGCTGCTAATAATCTCCAAACTAGCTAGTATATGGACAGGTAATTAAAACTGGCACTTAAATTGTTAACTATGGTTAGCCCTAGGGGATGAAAAGTGGAAGAAGATGAGTTTCATTCTTTGCTTTTCTATGCCATTACAATGAGTATGGATGATTAGAAATTTAAAAGAAAAATAAGGATTATTTTTAGAAGTGGGGTGATTTTAAGAGAATGTGAGGGAATTGTGGCTCAGCAGTAGAGTGCTTGCCTAGCATGTGCRAGGCGCTGGGTTTGATCCTCAGCACCACATAAAAATAAATAAATAAAGGTATTGTGTCCATCTTCAACTAAAAATAAAAGAATGTGGAGGTGTTAAGGGGAAAAAATAAAGAAACTATAAGTAGAAAAATTAGAGCTAATGRCTTAAGTGGACTAGATGTTATCAAGTCTAACACTCTTGTACTGTAGGTRAAGCAATGGCAGGGTAGGAGAAAGGACTTGCCCAAGGTCACAGCGGAAACTATCAGCAGAACTTGGACAAGACTCAAGCCTCCCGCCCTATTGGGCCAGGATCCCAAGAAGGGTGCAGACAACTAAACAAGCCTGGCTCTGCACTCTCACCTTGGAGTGGAGCTGCCTAGAAAGCCATCACCTCAGAGACAGTGAAGCTACCTCGGTTCCTAGAGGAGCACTCCCAGTGCTTTGGGTAGTTTCTGCCTGACTCAGCAAAGGCAAAGGCCRGAGGGAAGGCAGAGCAAGAGCTAGTCACCTGAAGGTTCACTGTGGCTTGCTGTTCTTTGCAGATACCTGCCCCACAGCAGATCTGACCCTTAGTCATTTTCTGTCACCACCCCTGGTGAGCCCTCACCTTGGTTAGTTCTGAAATGACTGCTATCCTCTCAGATGTTCAAGCCTGCCATCAGACACTCAGGGATCACCAAGAAGCCAACTGTGCCTCTAGGTACTATTACTAACCTGTCCAGCAGGTGGCTAGACCAGGAATAGGAGGAGATAGTTCTGTCCCCAAATGTATCTTTTTGCCTCAGGGCAACTGTCCCCTTCACACCTCTGCTTCTCAGCGGGGAGGAGAGAAGAACCGAGAAGATCCAGGCAGAAGGAACCCTCTGTGAGTTCATCCATCCTGCTCCTCTTACCTTGGAGAAAGGCTGAGATGGCTTGAGGTTCCCGTCCCCAKAATCTGGGCTGTATATATGGACCAGGTTGTTGGGTGTCACGTTGAGATAGTGATTTCGGAGTGAAGGAGAAAACACTCCAATCTGGAATTGAGRAAGGGGAAGGTCAGTGACCTGATGGAGAACTGGGTGCTGCCAGATGGCCACCTGGTACTCGCCTGCTGCCTGTTAAGGGTTCTCTGCATCAGCATCACACAAATCACTCCTGTCCCAGCCTTGGTACCAAGTAGAACCCTTACCACACCTTTCCCCTCAACCCTCCATATCCATTCATCTCCAAGGAACAGGAGCAGCTCAAGGGCCTCAGGCCTGCCCTCAGCTTTAGCAAGCCAGGGCCTACCAATAGTCCAGTCCCTCCTTGCTTGGACATAAGGAGGGAAGGCAGCCAGCCAGGAAAGAACACAGGAAACCTGAGGGTTCTCTCCAGGGTGGGAGGGGTGGAGAGCTGGCCGCCACTTAGAGCTCCCATACCTGCTTCAGCAACAGCACTGAGCCAGGCTTCAGCTCATTCTGGCGTGTCTCCAGCAGTACCCTGTGCACGGTCCCTTGCATTTCTCCTGCAAATACCATATGGCCCATCAGTCTCAGGATCAAGGGCAATACAGCAACTGGTTTGAGTCCTGGCTGGGAAGTGGGGTTCTCATTACCTCAATGTTTCTGCCTGCAAATGGAAGGAGTGATTTCTCCTCCTCTCTTGACCTCAACCGAGGCCACAACAAGACATTCCCAGAACCTAACTCCTTACCTGTAGGGTCCTTGAAAACCACACTGGCGTCCATTGTACTCCGAGTCAGGGATTTGATCATCACTGCCATGTTGGGGACCTTGTTCCTGGGGAGCTGCTTCAAGGCTGCCTACTTACAGAGAGAGGCATTCACAGAGCTGATCAGGGCTCACCTGCACCTTCCCAAGTCCCCAAGTGTGCTGGGGGTAACCAGGGACTGGTGATGCTCTTCCGTCATGGAGGGCAAAGGGGGCAATTGGAAGGGCATATCTTCTCTGGCAGGCCTGAAGCTGGCAGTCCTTCATGTCTCTCCCCTGCCTCCTTCCTTTTGTGTACATGTATTTATATGGCACTCCATCATGGTGGACATGGGAAAGGATATAGCATATACATGTACTAACATGTATCTCCACGTGGCCCTTGATGGCTGAGGAGCTCTGAGGGTAGCATTGTGCTTAACTCCATCCAGTGCCTAGAAGTGCAAAGGCATACCCAGAGCCTGTTCTCCTTGTGCCCAATACTGTGGATGATAGGGAATAGGCAGGCCTATTCAAGATACAACCAAAGGAAATTCACTCATGCTGCTCCTCAGGGATAGGCCTGTGGTAACAGGAAGCAGATAACCCCCTCTTACGGTGGACTAGGGCAATAGATTGTTGAAAGGGAGAAAAATGGTCTTCTCATTGGGTCTCAGTGCTCAGAGACCTTACCTTCCGCAGTACCATGATGATGCTATAGGTACAAAGGAAGCAGGTTGGGTCTCTCTCATCCAGGCCCAGAGAAGATTTCATGGTCAGCCAGGGCCCTCGCTCAAAATCCTCCTCCACTGATGACTGGGAACTAACAACAACCTGGTATAGAGTAGAGTAGGAGYCTGCGTTAATAGGTTTCTCTTCCTACAGACGCTTGACTGAGACAGGATGAATGGTGGGAGACAAAGGGTAAGTCTCTAGGAAAGACCATAGCATGGTAGTCACAGTCTCCCAATTATCTCCAAGGTCAGAAAATGTTATGTGAAATCTTGCTGCATATCACATTTTTCACTAAGCAGCTACAACAAAGGTTTTTTTTTTTTTTTTTTTAATCAGATATTGACTTTAATTACATTGAAGCAATAGATTAACCRTGCTTGTCTCTTGTGGTACTAATTTGGGGTAGGGATCCCCCACATATGTATATAGGATTCCAGGAGTGTCTTTGCCATTTTGAATTCTGTAATCTTATTTTGTCTCTGGCTTTAACCATTAGCCTTATTATATTAATAACTGATTTTAATTCAGATGACTATTGCCTGGTTTGGATCTGAAATGGACTGGCAAATCTGGGGAACTGCAGCAAAGAGAAGAAATACTTCAGAGAATTAAAAGCAAAAGTGGGCCCAGGGGTAGAGTAGGCCAACAAGAACTCCAGAGAGGAGAAAAGCTGGTCTCACACATCAAGAGATACCCCCTTGGAGGCAAGATGAAGGCAGATTCTCCCCTGCACAGTTCCCAGAAACCTCAGAGAAAAGGTTCCCAAAGCACAGTCTCATAATATGTATTACACTCTCCTTCCCTCAGGGAAGATGGAGCTGGGCCTTTATTTCTTAGATAGGAAAGAAGGCCAGACCCATGGCWTTGGTTAATGGCTGGCTGGCATCAGGACAGGCCTTATTTTATGCCAGTAAAATCACCACCTCCCCCAGCTGCCTTCTCAGCAGCACTTTAATTCCCAACTCCCCCAATATGCAGGGACACCCCCCACTCTCAAATGATGCCCAGGAAGTTAACATTTACATGGAATAAGTTACCTCTGTCCGGAATTTAGCCAGAGCACCATGAGCTGGAGTCTGGGGTGTGGAAACCATGATTTCCTCCAGATTCTTCCCACTATGCTAAGAGGAGAGAGAGAAGAGAAGGTGAGAGCAAGCTCAGCAGCTGTTATTTACAAGTACAGCATCTTGTCTGGATTACATAATGAGTTCAGGAAACTATCAGGGACAATTAACACATATTACATCTCTCCTAACGCAGTCTCAAGAGCCTTACTAGCAGCTCAAAAAAGACACTTTGGGGATCGTTTTGGGAATGTGAGGAAGCTGGAGCTGGCTCAGGAGCAAARCCCAGGGCTGCCTGAAGGGGGCAGTGACCCACATAGAGGGGGCCAGTGAGGAGTTAAGGGACAGTTTTCCCCAGGTCTCTTCTCAGGAAGCTAACCCTTTTCCTCTAGGGAGATCCAGCCCAGAAGGAACATGGACAGCCTCCCTGGATTTCTCTTGAAGTGCTGTGGAAGAGAAAGTTACAAGCAGAAACTGTTTCAAAACACCCAAGGAAAGGAGCTGGGTACAGTGGCACAAGCCTGTAATCCCAGTGACTCAGGAGACTGAGGTAGGAGGATCGAGAGTTCAAAGCCAGCCTCAGCTACTTAGTGAGACCCTAAAGCAATTCATTGAGACCCTATCTACTGCTTAAATCCAAACTTTCAGCAGAGRTGTCTTCCCTTCAGCCCTGACTTCCTCATATTGACCCCACGCAACAGCCAGTTACCTGTTCTGTGGATCTCTGAGAGCACCTGCTTTTGGGCATCTGTGCTTTGCACTGGCTCCTCCCTCTTCCCTCCTCCTGTCTTCCCACACTGGACTGTCCTCAGCACAGCCCCTCCCCCATATCTCTTTACCTCCTTCTCATCAACCCAAAGCCATCCAGCAAGCCCAAGGTAAGCTGTGTCTCCCCAGCAGCCAGGGAATGACTCTTACACTGGGCTCTTTGTGCCTAATCATTTGTACACTGTAAGCTCCTTAGGACAGAAATTGTTCCTCTTTATTTTTTTTAAAACATTTATTTTTTAGTTGTACACAATACCTTTATTTGTTTATTTATTTTTTATGTGGTACTGGGGATTGAACCCAGGGTCTTGCACAAGCTAGGCAAGTGCTGTAGCACTGAGCCACAACCCCAGCCCCCTCTTTAATCTTTGTATTTTCAGTTCAAAGCAAATTGCCCAATATCTACTCCTCATCAAATATGAGCAAATGAACCTCCCTGYCCTAGTAGTAGGAAAACAAACATGAAAACCAGGAAGTTTCCAGAGCCTTATGCACACCTCTTCCCTGGGTAAATTTTCTAGCATTTTTCCTTCCCACTTCTTTTTCTGCCTGGAACCTGGGCCTCACAACTGCTAGGCAAGCGCTCTGCCACTGAGCTACAACAGGCCCCTTCCCACTTTTTTTGACTTCTTCCACAATTTTGCAAATGCTGCCTATCTTCACCTCCTTCCTCCTTGCTCTTCAGGAGAAAGATGTTCTAGGGTTGGATAGGGGACAGTGCTGGACTATTGCTTTTCTCCCTTATCTCTGCTCTTAGAGAACCAGGTCACTCACCTGGTGAGGTAGGAGTCCTGCTGGGCCAGGGAAGCGGCGCAATTTGGCTCGGRTGGAGGGGCGAGTGGGCTTCTGGGGAGTCCGGTTGGCAGCAGTGACCAGCTGCACCAGGTGGTTGGTGACTATGGGGGTCTGCAGAGCTGCCTGGGGAACCTTTGGGGAGGAATGGGGACCTTTTGGGTTGCTGACAGGAGACTCAACAGAAGACACTGGGGCTCGGGATTGCAAGGGATCCCAAAGAGAGACCACAGAGCTGGTCTTCGAGGGAGTAGACCTGGAGTTGGGAGTTCGAGGTCTAGGAAAATGAGGTTTGCCACTTAACCAGGCACTAGGAGACTGAAATGGCTGACCAGGCAAACGATTTTGAGGGCTGCTCTGAAGAGGTCTTCCAGCAACTTGGAGAGGCCGGGGTATGGGAACAGGGGGGGTTTGGGGACAGATTTCCCAGTGGGGTTGCTGAGTAGGAACTACTAAAGCAGTTGGCATAGGAAGGTTGCCTGCAGCACCAGGTTTCATGCAGGGCCATGGAGTCCTACAGTGGGAAACAGGCTCTAGAGGCTCATCCAGGGCTGACATGACACCTGTTTTGTGGGTGGCAGACATGGGCCCCTGCTGGCAAGATCCACTCAGATCAGCTACCCGGGCCTTTTTAGCCAAGATTGTGTCCTCCTGGTGCTGGGCAGGCGAGATTTGTGTGGCCTCACTGCTAACACCAAGTTCCAGCTCCATGCCAGCTGCCTCCAGCTCCATGCTTGCCAGGACTTTATCAAATTCGTCTTGTTCAGGCCCCTCAAAACCACCCAATCCCTGCTGTTGGCTCTCAAAGGTGAGGAGGGGGCGGGAGGCTGAGGACTGGGGCACTTCTGGCAGCRTCATTCTTTTCTGATTGCCAGTCCAGCTGCTGGAAGCTGAGGCAGGGCTTATGGGGACAGTTTCTGTAGAAGGTGGATCTCTGATGGCTCTGGGCATGCTGGAGGTTGGGAGGCAGAGTCCCAGGGTTGGCAATCTCAAAGCCTCTGAAGAAGCAGTGGGATGTAATGGTAGTCTCGTTGAGGACTGCCCCTGCACAGTCTCCTGTGGCTTGGAAGAAACAGGTCGTAGGCGCCCAGCATTCACAGGTAGTGAGCCAGCAAACTGGTTCTCTACATCCTCCACAGCAGATAAGAAATCCTACAAAGAAGCAGAGACAGTAGATCTTTGCATCTGGAAATTTTTACTTTTATTAATGTTTTGGAAATTTTTTTTAAAAAGCTCTACTTTTACTGTGCAGGCATGTAGTACATATGTGTGTGTGCTTGCAAGTGGGAAAACAAGGTGTAAAAGACAACAGGGATGTCTCTCACCAATTGCTTATAAYCTTGCCCATGAGCCTACCACCAGGCTTCTATCAGAAACATTCTAAGGCTAAGTCTGCAAGTAGTTTCTGTCTTTCTTCAATATCTAGATTAGGCGCAGAAAAGCAGAAACAAATGTCCCAGAGAACTAAGGAGTCAAAGGACTCATCCAAGGACATGCACCTTTCTCAAGAAATCTAGCTTTCTGGTGTCCAATCAATGCAATAGGGAGCTACACACACACACACACACACACACACACACACACACACACACACCACATCAGTCTTCAGTAAGCCAGAGAACCCCTGGATCCAGCAAAATAGATGGAAGTTAAATATAGCTTTTCAGGAAAGTTAAATTAAGTATGGATTCCAGTTGGGAAGCAAGGTGAGATTGACACCTTCAAGAGCAACAGACCTGTTCTGAGGGTGTTTTTGAGTCAGAACTGCTGATTTAACTGACAGAAAGGTCCCCTCCACCTACACCCCTGCTGCCACACTGTATTGTCTGGGCTAAAGAAAGGTTTTTTATTTATTTTTTTTTACCTGCTTTGTATATTATCAAGAGTCCTATACTCTAGCAGGAATACTTTAGGATTTAGCAATAATAATATTGATTAGAATTATAGAAATAATAAAACCCCAATGACCTGGATATTGATGGATTCCTTTTTWCCCAAAGAGCTCACTCTCAAATATGTTATGTGTCTTAGGAAGAGGGAAAGGGACTGGTCTGCCATTTTCAAGGAACAGAAACTTGAACAGTCCCTTAATTCCATTACCTGTTAAGACCCAAGAGGGTCACTTTAAGAGTCACCTTTTCAGCCTGTAATCACACATCTCCAAAGCTGAAAGACAAGGACTCATCTCCTTGACAAAGCCAGTAATTTTTAATTATTTGTAAAAACAAAAATTAAGTTCCAGGGCTGGGGATATAGCTCAGTTGGTAGAGTGCTTGCCTCACATGCACAAGGCCCTGGGTTCAATCCCCAGCATCATACACACATACACACACACACACACACACACACACACACACACGGAAAAAAAAAAAAGTCCCCCATGTAATAACAAAAACTAATATTTTCAACCTCACTGGTTCTAGGTACCATGTATGTATTTTACTACAATTTTCCCAGATGGACACAGTGGTGCAGAATTTACCACCATACCAGGGACAAGTTAGACATCTGAACATAATGGAATTTGGGGGCAAAGCACTGGGAGACAAAAAGTAGTTTTTATTGGTGTTAAGGGTGTGCATCAGCAGTAGAGGCATGCTGAGTAGGCACCAGGCTCTGGGTTTGATTCTAAACACCCCCCACAAAAAAAGGTAATTATTGAATGGCTTGTCTTTGGTAAAATAGAAAAATTCTATTCTGTAAATGTATTTTAGTAGGTTCCATGTCCATTAGATTGGTATCAAAAGGCTGAGTCCTCATCCTGGCTATTTGTGCTATATTGTCAGGCAGGCAAGTTAAACTTACCTCTTTGGGCTTTACTCATTTAAATCCTCCTCTTTCTAAAAAGGATCAGAGGTGGTAATTGCCAGCCTCCTGGATGAGGTTATATCCATTGGTTCTAAATGTGAAGAGAGCTACAGAGACCATTATTAGTTCAGAGGTCTCTGGCTATACTTCAGAAACACCCCTGCCAGCACCAGAAATTCTGACTTAATTGGCATGTGGTAGGGCCTAGATAAAGGTGATTCTAATACCCTGGATTTAGATCTAGTCGAATTCCTCACCTTCAGGGGAATGAGTGGGAAGGGAATAAGATCCGAGGCAGAAGAATGCCCCTTATATTGTAGAACAGAAAGCGGAAGCAATTTGCCCTGGTTCACATGGCCAGCTGGTGATCACAAACCAAAAGCCATCCAGTAACTGTACTGTCTCCTACACTATTTATTCATGCTCTCCAAAAACCTTCTTCCCACCTCCAGTATGCTATCATGAAAGTGAATTAAATCATCTTCACGACAGAGCTTCTGAGAAAAGGCCCTAATAACTTAGAGATAGGACAGTTAAGCAACTGATCTCTGGTTTTTTTGTTTGTTGCTAAGACAGTTAAGTAGGTTGTTTACATTTCTTATCATTTCAATGTCTCTCATAGACAAAAAAGATATACATATCAATGGAAAGGAGGCTGCAGCAGGCTGCTCCAAAATGTTCTGGACCTGGATGTTTATATCCTTTGCCATCTCTGATTACCAACACTTCCTTACCTCATCTTCAAACTCCTCTTCCACAGTAAACAGCTTCCGCAAACTGCATGCCTGAAAGGAAAACAAAGCAATTGAGGCTGGAGGAGAAATGCCATTTGCAAGTACATTCTGTCCTCATTGCTTCTTCGCAACTCTGACAAGACCATCAGGTGTACTGTTTTTTTGTTTTTTGCTAGTGCTGGGGGAGGAATAAGGGATGAGGAGAGAAAAAATGGGATTCAGTTGAAGATTTAAATGACTTAAAAATCTTTTCTTGTAATAGAATCCACTCAGATCCATCTGTGTTAGTCCCTGAAAGAGGGGCAAAGACAAGGCTGCCAAGGGGAGCAAAAGCAGTTCTTCAGAATCAGCCCTTTGCGGTAATGGGGGTGCAGCTCAGTGGGAGAGTGCTTGTCTGGTATGCCTGAGGCCCTGGGTTCATCCCTAGTACAACACTGTGGGAAGTGAGGATCAGCACTGTGTACACAGACCTGAGGATTTTGCAACAACCCCAAAGTCTGTCAAACATAAGAATCTACCATAAATCCAAATATGCTGGGCACAATGGTCTGGTGTTTGAGACTCAAGCCAAGAATTTTCTTCCACCTAATCCAGCGCCCAAAAGCTAGGCTCCCAGAAGTGTGGGGTGCCCCAGTCCATGGTTCCTACTTTCTAGCCAGCAGGGATGCTGTGGCTAGCTCCAGATGAGTGTCAAGCCAGGGGTGGTGCCAGATCCCAGATGCCAGAGAATCAAGAGCTATGCKGATCTCGCCTTCCCTGGGATCAAAGGTCAGAGTGCAGGGAGGGCGAAAGCAGAGAGGGGAGGGATGGATCCAGGAGATAGGCGTTTGAGAGCACTGGGAAGGATGAACAATTCTCCAAAAAGAGAAGGAAGGCAACAGGAGGGAAACAGGACCAGYGTGGAGCAGGGGAATGTGCTTTCCCAGGGATTCCAGCGCGTCCGGCCAAACCCAAACTAGAACCCTGAGTCCCCCCCAGACCCAGGCCCTGCATCCCCTGCGGCTGAGGACCTGGAACCACCAGGTTCCGGGAGCTGGGACCGCAGCTGGAGGACCCTAGCGTGGGCGCGGCATTACCATGGCTCCAGCGGGTGGGCTCCGGAGGGTGGATCGGCCTAGCCCACCCAGACTCGGCGGGGGGGGGGGTCGCCTCGGCCTCAACCCAGATGGAAGTGGCGGACGCTGGGCGATGATACCGGAGTACAGGAATAGAGCGAAGCGTCTTTCCRACTACCGAGCAAGCTGAGGAAGGGTCTCAAGGAGGCTGGGGCCCGAGGCTCCCGGACGCATTCAAAGCCGCCGCCACACCAGCGTCTCCGCCCTCTTAAAGGGACGGGTCTGTTTCTATCCCGCCGACATAAAGGCCTTCACCCTCTCGCCCTTCCGCCTCTGCCTTAAAGGGGAAATGAATGAGCTCTCGGTCGCCCCCCTGCGGCTCCTCGGACCTAGTAGGCTGGTTGAACTAGTTTAGGGGAGACCAAGCAAGATTGAAGAATTTTGGGTCCTTGATGCCCAGTCCTGCTCCCACACCTCTGTGTTTAAGCACACTAGGAACTGGGTATGGAAGCGTGACTTCCTCACCAGTACCCACCCGGTCGGTTCGTGTCTTTGTGCATCGGTCCATCCGTGGATGCATGCCACACATGTTATCCATCCGATGCTCTTGGTCTGGGTCTTTTTATTCTTCATGTTTCAGATTGGATTCAGATCTTTCCTGTCACCTTCTCTCTCAAGTAACATCCCTTTCCCCATCACAACACTTTATTTACTTCTCAGCACTTTTCATAATTTATGTTTGTTATGGTTAATATCTTTATTCATATCTTCCTAACTAGAATAAATAGGCTTCCTGAGGGTGGGGACCGACCTTGTTTACCTTATCCAGCTTTGTATCCCCAAGCACCCAGCTTGGTGCTCAATAGTTATTGAATGAATGACATAATGACTGCTGTGCAATGGGACAGTGCTGACACTGGGGATAGAGAAATCAAGTTCATAACTAGACAGGGAGACAAAGGCCAACTCTCTTTGGTTATTGACCCTCGGTCCTACCTCATTTTCCTTTCATGCTTATCACTACAGCAGCAGCTTGTGCCACATAGTTTTGAAGACAAYAAGCAGGAGGAAGGTAGGCAACTCCAATGATCTGATTGGAGCCATCCCGGAATCTTCCCCAGGGTGGCCTGGTCTGACCTTACATCAGGATGGCCTGTGGCTTCCATCAGAGCTGTGAGTGGTCCAGTTTACCTGTCTTACATAGGAATGGAGGCCAGAATGACAACAGGAAAGGAAACCTCAATTGCCAACTTTCTAAGTTAGGGATTCTCTTAAGGCCATTCTGCTTCCCTTGAGGTTTCTAAGCCGGGAGACAAAACCCCAACCCTCCCAGGCTTCTTCTTTTCACAGGAATACCAAGAACAGCTCATCCTGCCCAGCTGTGGATCATCCTAGAGATCCAGTTACAAGGTTCTCGGAGATCTKGGCTGTCTCCTTTAGAGGGATCACAGAGCACAAAAGATCAAGAAGAATAACAAAAACTTCTGTATGTACCATAATTTATAGCTTACAATTTAACATTTGTTCATTTTGTCTTCATAAAGATTATATGAAGGGCAAAGGACAGGTATTTACAGATTGGGAAAATGAGGACCAGAGGGGAAAAGGGCTTCATCAAGGTCAGGCAATGACTTAATTACTTTTTTTTTTTTTGATGACTTAATTACTTAATAGTGGATCATCTGYTTAGAAATCTTTCCTTTCTTTCTTTTTGGTACCATGGATTGAACCCAGGTGTGATTAACCACTGAGACACATTCCTACCCCCTTTTGTTTTATTTTTGAGACAGAGTCTTGCTGAGTTACTTAGTTGCTGAAGCTAGCTTTGAACTTGCAATCCTCCTGCCTCAGCCTCCTGAGCTGCTGGCATTACAGGTGTGTGCCGTCATGCCCAGCTTCTGCTTAGGAATGTGTTTTCCTYCATTACCTTTCTTTTTGCTGTTGCTGTTGTTTATGATACTGGAGATTGAATCCAGGAGTGCTCTACCACTGATCTACATCCCTAGCCTGTTGTATTTTTAAGATTTATTTTTAGTTGTCAATGAACCYTTATTTTTATTTATTTATATGTGGTGCTGAAAATCAAACCCAGCGCCTCACACATGCTAGGCAAGCGCTCTATCACCGAACCACATCATCCCTTTTTAATTTCTTTTTTTTTTTT